AATAATTTTTCACTCGTATAAAACATGTCACCGTATTTCGATGAGGAACCTCAAATTTTGACCTTTACTCGGCACTCATGGCCATTGAGCATTAAGGATTCTTTATCGTGCCAATGCATTTCGTGACACGGGACTTCAGGTTATAAGGTCTTATCCACAGCATTTACTTCCAGTTGCCGAGCGCTTGGTGAAGGAGCAGTTGCTACTTAATTTTTATAGATTTTGGTCAGTCACTGCCGGGATTTGAATGCAAAATCTTCAAAACTTGGAGAGATCGCTTTTTGCCTTAGGTGAGTCGCAGCCCTGATATGACCTCACGAGCATCCTATGAAACACAAAAGATATGGGGATAAAAACAAAGCAAAGAAAATGGCCAAATAATGGCTTGATGATAAGCCTAAGTTTTCCCCGTGTTGGCAAAGTGTTTAGATTTTGAGACAGAGAGGATTTGATATTCTTTGAACCCAATGTACGATAAAAAATGCTAGAATATACCTTTATCAAGTAACAACATGAAAGCGAGTCATTGTGTGTGAAACGTTAAGACGACAAGATGGAATGTACTCTAGTTGAATCAGGAAACGATAACGAAAATCGAGCGAGTTAAAAATGTAAAGAAAATAAACAACGTCTCTAGAGTAAATGAAAACTAGAGGTACTGTGAGCAATGAGCTCACTAAATGATACCCCCCGCCTCCCATAAACTAGAGGTACTGTGAGCAATGAGCTCACTAAATGATACCCCCGCCTCCCATATGTATAAAATGGCAGTGCCCATGTTTTGCTATGGGAAACCCAGAATGTGTCGGATCAAAAAGTAAAATAGAAGGTGCACAATGGTAATATGTAATAAAGATTCTGTTAAAGTTTCATTACATTTCACTCAGTGGTATGAGAGAAGTTTTGGAAAAGAGATGGGTACCCGAAAGACGGGTAAAAGATGGACGGACAGACAGACAGAGAGACGGACGGACGGACATACCGATTACTATATACCCTCCCGCTTTTCAATCGGGGGTATAAAAATATATATCCCAAAATGCAGGATCGAGTTTCGAAAAGAGAACTCGCTATATTTGTTTTAGATGTTCTGTTAACATTTCTATATCAACTCAAAATAAACAGTGGAATGATCGAATTAAATACAAAATGTTTGGTTAGAAGACTATTGATTTTTTTTAACAAACGACTGATATGTTTCACTTCTCAAAATTCTTTTAAATAATTAGTTATTAATGATGCCTCAATAACGTTGTAGGTTCAAGACAAATAAATTTTGTGATATTAAATGCCCACATGAACAATTTATCATATATAATGCAGTGAAAACCGACACTAGTGAGTAAAGAATAGAAGGATATAATGAACAGTATTCAAGCTAAAAAGTCTATTAAACAGTACAAATTAGGAGCAGAGCAAACACGGACGACCAAAACATCAGAGATGGGATCTGGTGCCCTAGAGGAGTGAGCATCCCCTGCCGACCGGTCACACCCGCCGTGTGTACCCTGTCATGATCGAAAAAACAACAGAAAAACCGTCGATAATTTAGTATGTAAATAATGGAATAACAATTTGTACGAAGAACGTCCTTTATCTCAAACGTTCTGTGCAACAGTATAGTCGAGGATTGGTGAAAATCTTATGTGAATACTAAACCATTCCGAGGAATTTCTCAGAAAAATTTGATATCACAAAATGTTACCAAAAATAATGATATATAAAATCTATGGGACTTTTTATCTTAAGCAGGTGAAGAAGTTATATGTAATTCAATCATACTATTAAAAATGATACGACATACGATTTTAATGAGAAGAGAATTAAACTCATTATTTTGCTTGTCAGGTCACAGTATTGAAAGCCAAAATAAAATGAAATGTAATAATATTTTCAACAAAATGAGTCTCTATTGAAAATCAATCACTGTTTGATAGGCAGATATTGACCAAAAATACATTTTTTATGAATATTTCATTTCAGTAACATTGTTGCTAAACAGTTTTATTCAGTCTATTGATTTCTGACAAATATGTTTGAATATTATCAAATATGCTCCTTTTAACTGTTACATACTCAGAAAGTTTTAAATTTAGGCATTAAAATTTAAACAGATGGTAGAATTTAAACAAAAGAGATGTGTTGCACATTTGCCATTTTCATAAGATTTAAAGGTAACAAAAGGGGTAAGGAGAATAGCAGGAGAATAGAGAATACGGACTTCTAAGTAGTGAGAGGTGGGATCAGATCTAACGACTTAATTGATAATACACATGGAGACTTTAATTTTTCAATCGTCAGCTTCCCTTATCTTGCAACACTGCACCCTACATACCTGTTGATGGATTTTATGATGGCATCTTATGATGGCAAAGGTGTAATCTCTCCAGGATCCTAATTTCTTTTTATATATATGATCTCTTGAAATTTTTTTTTTTTTAATTTACTAAACTTTAAATTTATTTATTTATCGATTTTTATTTATTTGATTTTTATTTTTATTAATAGTACAATTAGTTATTTTTAATCTGACTTTAAGGGTTAAACGTAGTGCTTAATTTTTATTACCGTCATTACCGTCTTCCTTGGAAGACGGTATTGTATAGTTGAAGTTTTTTACAGTCTTCGGACTATGCACTTCCTCTCTTTTGTGATTGGTAGAAAATGCATGATGAGAAAATTTTCAATTATTTCATTGGTTGAAATGCTGTTCAAGGCAAGGGAGATAACTTTCTGATGATCTAATTTTCGTACGACTTAAAACAATTTTGCAAGATTTTCAATCATAAAAAAAAATGACAAAACGAACAACAAAATCAGCAGTAATTAATTCCTAATAACATGATTTTTTGTATAGCAAAAAATAAAAATATCTCTTTAACGTCATTATAAATAAAATTTGATTTTTATTGCTTGCAGGCTTTACAATTTGTTATTATTCTTTTCCCCTTTCTTGTTTGAAGAAGGAAATGGAATCAGCCGAGGTTTGCCGAAAGCTCTCGGCGAGTTTACGGAGATGACCGAGCGACAACCGTGGTAGGGCTAATGCCAGTAAAAAGCTAATGTAGAAATACAAAATCAAGAAATTCAAAAGAATTATACGGCCTGATAGGTGTAGATCGGTATACAGTTTAAGATTGTTGCTAAAGACGGGAAGCTTTTTCAAAAAGCTCTACTTGTATGACTTTTATTTATTTATTTATAATACTCACGTTATATTTATTTTTGTTCCTCTTAATGCAATCATATTACTTTTCAAGTTTTTTTTTTCTTTAACTAATTCTAAAGAAATTATAAATTCTTAACATTTGTTTAATTCTTAAAATTCGTTTTATCTGCCATATGTATGTGTATATATGTACATGTGTTTTTGCATGTTAATTTATGTTGTAAATGTTTTTCTTGTGATATTTTACTGTGATAGTCGGTTTAAGAGCTCTACAGAGCTCATGTTTATTGTTATGTAATGTATACAATGCCGACTTTAAATAAAATTTACTTACTTACTTACTTACTATTTTATAGATTGTTAGCCTATGATTTACTCGTATACACTGAATTGACAACGGATTTTCCGGGTTTTGACATGGACCACACGGAGAGTGTGACCGGTCGGCAGGTGATGCTCACTCCTCCGTGGTACCTGATCCTACCTCTGATGTTTCGGTGGTCCGTGTTTGCTCTGCTCCTATTTTGTGTTTTTTATGGACTTTGATAATAAATACTGTTCGTTATCTCCATATCCTTTATCCCAGTTTATTCGACAGGAAGGGTTGTAATCTATTGACAAACAAGTTCATGAAACAAGAATATGGACAGTCTTGTTTAAATCTTAAACTTGATAATTTTGTAAGTTATATGGTCGTTACTATGAATATTTTGTACAGCAAGCGTCAGACAGAATTCGATTCATAGATTGCATTTGCCAACATGATTATTTTATCGACAGTAGACGTTCCCTTTTAAACGAGGTTGAAATATAACGTAGAAATGACTCTTAGTGTTTGATTAGCAAATACATATCACCATTTTGTTGATTGATGCATATTTATATTTTATGTGAATTCTTTTCTTTTGAGCACTTTTGTAACGGACAGTATGAATGTAAAATAAATAAAAAGCAACAAAAAATGTTCCAGATTAAGTAAACTGTTATGAGATTCTACGACAAAATACTTATATAAGGATATAAATTTTGGTTTGTCATTTGAAAATAATGGAGCGGAACTTGGATATGCTTAATTTCTAATATTCCTACAATTTTTCATTAAGTCAAATGCTGATTGACGTTTTTTTTTATAGTAATTGTTTAGCTATTCTTTACCCACTGAATTGTTGACAGATTTTTTACCGTTATTCCCAAATCATGACAAGGAGTCACCCATCGACAGGGGACACTCTCTCCTCCATTACACACCATCCCATCCCTGTTGTTTAGAGGTCCGAATTCGTTCTGCTCTTGCTTTGTCGTGTTTAATGAACTCATATATCATACTCATTTACCTTTGATATTTATTATCTTCACCAGATCTCCCATTTTTGTTTTTTGTCTCTTTTAGGGATGCAGTATTACCTTAGAGAAAACAGAAGGATACTGTTGATTATCTTATTATTTGTTCAGGGTAAATTTATTGTTAATTTCTATTCATTTAAACGTTCGTTTGTAATCCACGCCTGATATTTTAATCTTAATTAAATTGACATATTTTTAAAAATGAAAGATTTATTCTATAATTGCCACAAGTTTAACTGTGCACATCGATATTTTTTCCTTATCCAATTCTTTTTACTCCAAAAATTTGTCAATTGATTTTCGTAGCAAGACCAGTTAAAATTATCCTTAGATGAATCATCCCTGGAAATATGGTCTATATTGGGTACATGTACAATGACTGTTAAAGGGAGGTTCTCGAAACAAGACCATTTACTGGGAACATGTTCCCTTCTTGCCTTTTTCTTTTTATCGAACTCGAGTTATTTATACTGATTTTAAAAAACAGATATACATGGGCAGGATCCCTGTTTGGGTGGAAACCACGGCACTCCATCCTTCCTGGAGAAGCGAAGCCCTTCGTACGAGATGGATTCGTCGCCGATCTGTGACCGGTACATCCTCGAGGGCTGGTACGGGGCGAGGGGATACAATATGTCTACCTCTCCTCCCTCTCTTACATATTGTGGTACACTGTATCCAGTCTGGTCGAATGGTAGGTTTTACAATTCATATATCTTTATAAACAAAGCAAATATACGAGGGTTGTTAGAAAAGTTCGCGGATAAGTTCTATTGTGAGCGTATTGCTTTCCATGAAACCGGAAAAACTCTCCAGATAAAAACTTCACCTATTTTTCAAAAAAATATACAAAGATTACTGTTTTCCGATGATCCTTAAAAAATATACACTATATAATCTTTATAAAACATGCTTTACGTAGCATGCTACTTTTGCGCACCTTTACATTACAAAGACCTTTTAATGAAATTAAAAATTGCACAGTTATAGTGCAAAAAAAGATATTTTTCATTGCCTACACTTAGTTTAAGGACAAAGTATTCAAATAGTAGTAACTTTATAGTACACATGTAATGAAAGGATTAACATTTTTAATTTTCCACTCCAGCGATACGTGGTAACCCTCTTGTCGCTTGGACGTTGCCCCTATGGATTTTGCACTGTTTCTATACCCGATCGCTTATCTGCGAAGACATTTATTTTTAAGCTCTCAATAATATTCGAAACAACACAAAAGACATTGTATAAAAAAAGTAACATGACTTGATATAGATATTTAATTTTTAATTAAAATAATACAAAATAGGAGCAGAGCAAACACGGACCTCCAAAACATCAGGTGTGATCATTAGCATGAAAAACTTCATTCAGCATTCAGCTGAAAAATGTCATCGTATCGACTATAAAATTTACAAAATGATGACTTTAAAAAATACTGCTGATATTCTTGTTTCAGCAACTTCTTTGCCAATAATTTACCTCGTTTTAGAATTTGTTCATACGTACAGCATGCTCTTGCGTATCGAATCAACTGAGAAATTTAAAATTCGTGCAGGTGATGATGGTATATTGCTGCATAAATAAGGAAAGTTGACGATTGAAAATTCACGTTTATGATAAAGCTTGGTTGTTAGATCACTATTTACGTCTTTTCAAGTAAAATATCCAAATATGACACAGATGTGTCAGACTCTGTGATTTATGTAATCTCAAGCTCACCAGGATATATCGTATCGACCTAAGAATGAAAATTACCATAGTTACTTGTCAATATACCTAAACGTCCCGTTGAAGGCCACAAGTAATTTCTTCTTTTCAAGCACAAGATTTTGCACAAATTCTGCTTCATCTAATCATACATGGGTCATACGTCATAATTCACAATAGATAAAAATCAAAATTAACTAACAACCCTCGTATTTTGAAAAAAAAAAATGCAAAATTAATGACAATGAAAGGATATGTATAATTCTATCTACTTATATTAAATTGTTTTTCTCTTAAGAATCTCTTTTTTGATTAAGCTTTCTGTGAACTAAGTAAAAATAAATTTGATCCTTTTTGCATCAAACAATTTTGATTCACAATAATTGCAAAAATTTGTCCCAACTGAATTATGATTCTAACATTTTCCACTGTCATTTTTTATTGTCTATGCATCAGAAATACATAAAGTAAATTATTTTTGTTATATAAGATCAGCCACCCAGTGATGGGCAAACTGGATTTGTATCTGCCTGTCAGGTTGGATTTAGCGCTAACTGTGACAAAAGTTACAACATTGAAGTAAAGAACTGTGGAGATTTCATAGTGTATAAATTGAAGCCAGTGGATTTATGTGATTCCGCATATTGTTTTGGTATGTGCCCCGGTAAACAGTGGTGGTTTTTGTTGGAGTGAAAATTTTCAGTCTTACACTCAACTACGTGTAGTATTTATATACATGTATTACTATTTTATTTAGAAACACCAACAGTTATAACATCTTCGGTCGCAATCACAACTTTTTATGCAGCAGCAGACGAAACCTCACCGGACGTAACATACAGTATTCACAACACAGCTTCGACCATTGTTTCTACCACGGAGCCAATTAAAGATGTAACATTACAACCGACCTACTCCATTTCTGAGTCAAGTAAAGATGTAACAAATCCACCAACTAACCCCTCTACTGAGTCAAGTAAAGATGTATCATATCCACCAACTAACCCCTCTACTGAGACAAGTATAGATGTATCAAATTCATCGACTAACCCCTCTACTGAGTCAAGTAAAGATGTAACAAATCCACCAACTAACCCCTCTACTGAGTCAAGTAAAGATGTATCAAATTCATCGACTAACCCCTCTACTGAGTCAAGTAAAGAAGTCACATTACAACCAGATAACCCCTCTGCTGAGTCAAGTAAAGATGTAACATATACACCAAGTAAACCTACTACGGAGCCAAGTAAAGGTACATGTATATTATTTCAACCAAGCTTTCCATGTACTATAAAGTAGTAAAAATGTTACATTACCTGAAATCATGTCTATTTCTTTATCAAATAAAGATGAAACATTTTACAATGAGAAATCGACAATATATTTAGGCTCCTTTATTTCAGAAAATTATACTGCTCAACTTGTTACTGGAAATTTTTTAAGATGAAAAATACAGAGTGAAATTGTTAATCATTTACTCGGAGTTTAACTTTCTTGTATCGAACTGATCATAATGAATGGAATTATATTTTAATGTTTATATAGCAATAAGCTTCAGAAAAAAAAATTAACAAGCTAATTCAGAGAATTCGTGTCCCCCGCTTAGGGAAAAAGTCGGATCCCCCTGACTGAATTTGTAGAATTATTAAATGTATACATGTATACTGAGGCAAATAAAATACATGTATGTCAATATGCATATACAGATTTGATTGCTTATTCTTTATTATGTGTATAGAAGATTCTTTTTATATGGAATATTTATCACACTGTAATGATGATTTTATAACCTCATAAATTTTTCATTTCACATGCTCAATACTATCACTTAGTAAAAAAAAAAAAAGAAAAGTACATGTATTTAAAAAAAAAAAAAGAAAAGAAAAAAGAAAGGATCGATCGGGATTCGATCCCGGGACCTCTCGCATGTGAAGCGAGAGACATAACCACTAGACCACGGAATCGCTTTACACAGCCGGAAGTATATGCAGAACTGAAGTCACATGTATACAATGTATATTCATGTTCGGTATTCTCAAAATTTTACACAATCCATGGTGTTTGATTTATTTAGCCTTTATTAAACAGTTCTAATAGATGTAACAAGAACATAAAGTCCGCCGATAACCTGTTTCATACGCAATAACTCGCCTCATGCCCCTGCGCTAAAAATAGCGACATGTAATACTATAAATACTAATAAAACAAACGGGACGGGGCACTTTGAGAGGGGCGAGAGAGGTCCTAGGGAGTTTTGGTATAAAATTACATTGCATAAGCTCAAAATCTTCCTGAAATATCGCCCGGAAATGATAGTGTTACACACAGACAGAATGTATAAATTTTCGACCTTGAACTTTGACCTTTTGACCTCAAAATCAATAGGGGTCTTCACTAGGCCACAGGGAGTTGTTATGTAAAATTTCATTGCAATAGCTCAAATGGTTCTAGAGATATCGTGTGGAAACGAAAGTGTTTTCACAGACAGAATTTGCTTATTTATGACCTTGACCTTTGACTTTTTGACCTCAAAATCAATAGGGGTCTTCTTTAGTCCATAGGGAGTTGCTATGCTAAATTTCATCGCAAAAGCTCAAAGGGTTCTCGAGATATCGTGTGGAAACGAAAGCGTTACAGACAGACAGAAAGACGGACGGACGGACGGACAGACGGACGGACGGACAAACCCAAATTAATATCCCCCACTTTTCAAGCGGGGGACAACAAAAAATGTTTGCCAAAAACAATATACATTTACATATGATTTAAAGTCTCGTCTGTTTCTCATTTTAGCTGGAACTCCTGTCTTGTCCAGTGTACAGTGCAAAGGTAAAGCATTGAAAATATATTATCATTTTATTAATGAAATATATGGAATTTACGAATAGTAATGAAGTTCAGAAGTACATATTTAACAACACAAATCAGGAGCAGAGCAACACAGACCTACCTCTAAAACATCAGAGGTGGGATCAAGTGCCCTACGTTGAGGACGAAACTTAAATCAGTCGTCAATTCAGTGAATAAATAATGGACTCGGATTACTTTTTAGGTGTCGATCACATTGATGTATTTAATGATCACTCTGGGGACATGAAATCAAAGATGAGTAGGGCATTAGACGGAAACAACATGACCTGCTTTCAGCTACCCCTCCAGGATGACCAAACCCCCTTCTTTCTGGTCAGGATATCCGTACCTGAAACCTTTGGGACTAAGGCTATTCCGTATGACATTACCATAGCAGGAAATGGACTGTCGTGTAATAGACACTCCATCGCGAGGATGAGTCAGGTAAGATTTTTGGAATAAAATATTGTGAAAGCTTAATATTGTATTATAAAACTTGCTGTAACTGTAAAGGTTTGATTTTTTCAATTATTTGTAAAAATGGTATTTCAAATTTAACTTTAAATATGCTTAAAAATAAATTCCGCCAAACTAGTAAAGTAATTCTTTGATGGATTTTTATTGTTATCAACGGAATTAGAACTTTGATTTTTTTCTCACAAATGTAGGTCTCCTATCGCGTTGTTGGACAACCAACGCAGTTTTGTTCGTTGCTCAGTGATGTTAAAATATCAGGACTTTCTGTCTGCAAGCTCTATTGCGCATGTCCGAATCCCGTTAGCTGTAGAGATGTAACCATCTACCTTGCAAGTGGAAAGAACCGGGAACCCTGGTCCTTATGTGAAGTGTTTGTATCTACCTAGTATCCCGAGCCCGATCTCCTACTGAACCGGGAACCCTGGTCCTTATGTGAAATGTTTGCATCCAATCTATAACTGAACATTGCTTTTCCTGAATCAGAACAATTCTTATATTGGAAGAAAACAAGTCTCCTACTTCTGGATAATTATATAAGAGCATTTTTTCTACTGAAACAAAAGAATGTCCCAGATACTGGTGCTGACAATTTTTATTTATATTCAGTATTTTGACAATTGACGTATGTAGTTATTTCATAAAAGAAAAAGCATCTTTAAAAAAACAAAAAAAAACTCCATGTTTATTGGGTGAATACAAATGTAGATCCACACAAATGGTAAAGGTTGGTCTGTGAATATTTACAGCTCATTTATCTGAATTATTATTTCCCTCCTGAACTTGGCTGTGCACATTTCTGTTTGTGCATGCAGTTTCTGTCATTACAATCTATAATGTACTGTAACGATGCCAGGAAATAGAATGCCCTACTTTATAACACTTATTGAGTAACAATCTGAAAACTACTATTGTTTTCAAGGCTTGAAGTTTGAATGATGGCATTTTATTCATATAAAGAAATCCATGGAGGAAACTGCACTATGTTAGGAGTAACTCTTATCTAAGTTTTAAATTCACTCTAATCATGAAACAAAGGAATTGTAACACATTAACACATTACTTTTTTCATTTAACATTTTACTCTCTCTGAAGGCATGGTATTTTTTATGTGTCTTGTATATAGTGGGTGATCAAAAGTTTCAAAATATCTCTTGCACATAATCACAATCCGGAATTATAAAAAAAAGCTATTGGCGTCCAATGTAAGTACATTCCTTCGCTCTGAAATAATCAGTATTTTTACGATTTCATCACGCATAAGTTCTGGTTTTAATATTTAAAAAAAAAATGCTTTTGTTTCTGATTGAGAATATCAATTTACATTATGGAGACCAGACCCTCAAACAATTTGTCGGAAACATTATGGTCAATACAAATACTATCCATCATAAACTCAAATGCTGACTGACGTTCTTCTATTTTTTGTCATTTTTACAGGCTAAATATTTCATGGATCGTTTTCATGACGGGAAATTTTACTGATAGGTCTGCATTCTATTCTTATAAAGCAGATCCCACCTCTGATGCTATAGAGGCCCATGTTTGATTTGTTTTGGATTTGCTTTGTTTGAATAAATTTTGCAAATTTCACTATAATCTTGATATTCCAAGGTTTCTAACATATCAACACATTATTTTTGCATTGTTTGATTTTTTCCAATGAAGAAAAGTTTTGCATTTTAGTTTCTTATGTGTGTTCTATATAATGTAATACACAAGTTTCAAAAGTATTATCTATATAAAGAGCATATGTTACGTAATATTTTACACTATGCCTTTAATATGAAAATGATGTCAAAATGCAGACAACCCATCGCTATGAGAAAATCAATATTTTTATAAATTCAACACGCCTAAGTTCTGGTTTAAATTTTGATAAAAATGCTTTTGTTTCTGAAAAAGAATATCACTTATATACTGTAGATTAAGGAGGCACAAAGCGATCTTTAATTACATTTTTATGTCGGAAACTTTATGGTTAATACAAATACCATTCATAATACACTCAAAAGCTGACTGACGTACTTCTATAACATTTTTTGTCATTTTTACGCACTGAGTATTTAACGGATTTTCCCATTTTCTCCGATCATGACAGAGGGCTGAAGCCGTTACTGATAGGACGGAAGAGGAAGCTTACCCTCACATGGCACCCGATCCCACTTCTGATGATTTAGAGGTCCGTGTTTGATTTGCTTCGAATTTGATTTGTTTGAATGGTGTTTTAGCTAGAATGGTGTTTGTTATATCTATATTGCATTTCAAAGTGTACGAATAATGACTTTTTTTTAAAATGAAGAATGTGAGACGCCTCCACTCTTTATAATACACAAAGTCAAAGGTATTATCTATATTAAGAGCATATGTTATGTAATATTATACACCATGCCTTTAATGTGAAAATACTATCAAAATGTAGATGTCATGTGATTAAAAAAAGTAAGTTTTTTTTAATCCAAAACGAAACGGTGTTTCCAATTTCACATAAATCCTAGAGAGATGACTTGCAATAATACAAAGAATGATTTTGTAAAAAAAAAAATGAATAAATAAAAATTAGAAGGAATATAGACTTCTCAAAAGATCAATTTGAATTTGGAATGGTTGTTTTAGTTAAGAAAAATAAATTCAGTATAATGTTACTGGAAGGAAGACCGAGAAATAAAATTTTTATTTGCTTATTTATAAATAAATTCAAATTTTTCTATGTCAGAAAACTTTGAAAAATAATTTACTTCTGTCTCGTTCAACGTATATATATCATGTTCTATGTACAACTTATGATAAGTCGATATATATGGTCTTTTTTTTATCCAAAAGCATTCCAAGAACTGGGATTTTTATTTTACATATTAATTAATTGATGCATTTTCTCCCAGCGTGAAATGCCCTTGACACACATTCTTGATAGATACATTGGGACGTCCATATAACCAAGCTATTCTTGACATTATTTTATGGCTGTTCAAGATACGAGATATTTTATTTACTAATCAAGGGCCCCGAAGGGCATTTCAACATACATAAATGTACAATTTAAACATTCTTTTTTTTTTACCATATCATTTTTTAAACAGTTATATAAATGACCAAGTTACATAATAATATGTTCTCAGTGTCAATGATCATACATAAAAAACTGTCCAGAAGAATGTCAATGATCACAAATACAAATGCATTAACCTGTAAAAGCGTCTGAACCACCAGCAGATTCGATTACACCAATATAAGTACGACAACTCCTTTACGTTGAGGCTGTAGCTTTTTCTCCACTGAATTTTATTTATAATTGATGTTAAATAACTACAACATGAGGAACTTTTGATATTTGTTTTTGTAATATATCTGTGTAGTATGAACGCCTGTCGTGGATAAGTTTAATACATGTATGACATTATTCAAGCGCTAATATTTCCTCATTGAAATACTTAGTGAGTTTTATAAATGACGAAAGACAGCAAATCTTCTTTATAATTTCGATATTTAGTTAACATGAAAATTGACAAATCTTAGTAGATCCCCTCTGTCTATCAGAAACATCGCCGTTGAGCGGTTGACCCGAGGGCATTTTATTACAAACAGACCTTTTATATTGAAGGTTTGCATGAAAACCATTCGAGTATTACTTGTATTACAAATTCAGAATAAAATAAAACTAAAGGATATTGAAGTATTAAGTTATACATGTTTTATTTGCTTTATTATGAGGGCAAGACTGAGTACAATCAATTTTGAAACCGATCTACTCTACCAAAATATTGGAAAGTTGATGCTATAGCGTTTTCAAAAACCTTACTTAAAGTCGGAGTTTCGTAAATGAGATATAGGGAGATAACGAATAGTTCTTATGGTCAATATAATTGCCGTATTAGCACATATCTAGCGTATGTTTCCTACATGTATTATTGGTTCGAATTGTTTCCATGTTCTATAGTAAATATGAAATTTGATTAGGGAATGCTCCGTCTACTAGATTCGTGTGAGGAGCTCGGTTAACAGGGATGGTTAATCATCTAAGACACATGATTACACCTTTGGGATTTCATCGGTTCCTGTTTTTGCTCTTTCTACAGATTTGTATTCTTTAAAGATTTTTAAGATCGATCAGTGTTTGTCATCTTTATCCCCAAATCGAAAGATCCCCGAGGTGTAATGATTTTCTCTTGTGTGTCTGTTTGTCTGTCAAATTAAACCTGGCTCAAAACTGTTGCACTGTCAAGGGTAACTTTATACTACTGTAGTCTACGTCCCACTCCAGAGAATTGTGTTACCATCGGGAGCATAGTGTTATCATTCATATTTGTTGTGAGAGGACAGGGTGTTTTCGTGGAATACAGAATTTTTGTCAATTCAAATGCCCGTCAGCACTGTTTATAAATGATCATGCATAATTGGCATATAGCGGCTTATTTTAGAGGGGTGCTAATTTTTGCTTATTTTGGCGGTTTGATGATACTCCGCTACACTTTTTATAGCTAATACTAAAAAAGCAAGTACTCCTGTTAGTGTCCATCTGCAAAGAGTTGAAACCCTTTGTTCGCTAGAATAGATTACGTCAAAATTATTGGCATACCTTTGAGCAGGCAAAACGTCAAATTTTACACCTACCAATAAAACCCGCTATATGGTATAATGCGGACTTACGATTTTCATACTAATTTTTAGATCATTTTATTCGCATTGAATTTTTGGCTAGAATTTCCGTTAATGTGAAGACACTTATTTTCGTGGAGGGATAATTTTCGTTGTTTTCGGGGCATGAAGATTACCACTAATTTATGACCACCACGAAGGGTACAATTTCGAACACTAAACTGCAAAATAATTCTTTCGCCACGAATTTTAATCCCCACAAACATTTTTTGCCCCAAAGCTCATAATTATGACCCGCCGAAAATATGTGACTTTTCAATATTTGCAGATGATTACGAGAAGCACATAATTGGTGAGGCCGGTGGGCAGAGGATGCTCACATCTCTATGACAACTGATCCAGCCTCTGATCTGTATGAGGTCTACGTTTGCTCCGCTACTGATTTGTATTGTTTAAATGAATGCATCGGGTGGATACAATGACGTTGTCAGCAAATTAAAATTATCATTGAGTCAAATGCTGACTGACGTTTTCCAAACTAATTATTGGACTTTAATCCATTCAGTGAATTGACAACGGATATTTTTCGTTATTTTCCGATCATGACATGGAGCACACGGCGGGTGTGACCGGTCGAAAAAGGGATGCTTACTCCTCTGTGGCACATGATCCCACCTCTGTTGTTTTGGAAGTTTCCTCTGCTCCTTATTGTATTATTTTATGAACTTTTTATTTCAAATAATGTTTGATATATATATTTATCATTTTACTGTGCAATTAATAGCTTTGTGATTTTCTTCTGTCCTGAGGAAAATCATTATATTCAAAAAAATGTCTTAAAATTAATTTTAAACATCATGATGAACTTTAATCTCCATATACTTCATTGTCCACTTTCATTATTTTTCGAAAGATACAGTCTTTAAACTGCAAAGATGTGCAAAAACAAATTGAGAAACGCAAGTTTTTGTTAGCACACAACGTTGCAGTTATGAGACTATATTTTTCAATGAAGGATATGGAGATAACGAACAGTATTCAATACCAAAGTCCATAAAACAAAACAAATTAGGAGCAGAGCAATCACGGATCTCTAAAACATTAGAGATGGGATCAGGTACCATGGGATTGAGAATCCCATCCTTACCCGTTAAACCCAACGGGTGCTCGTTGTCATAATCGGGAAATAACGGAAAAATCCGTCGTCAATTACGTGTATAAATAATTGACTATGAATAAGTATGTAAAACGTCAGTCATCATTTGACTCAATGATAACTTGTATTTGCTAGCAAGGTAATTGTATCGATTAAAGAACTAAGGAAATCGTGATTATAAACGAGACTACTGATATTCTTGCTTCATCAACTTGTTTGTCAATAATTTACCTCGTTTAAAAATTGTTCATACGTAGATAATTAAACCACAATGACTCCTTGCTTATATCTTAAATTTTTCAACTCTCTGCATGATCGCAAATGAGATTTGTATTTTAAAATCCCAATAGTGTACTGCGTGTAAGCTACAGTTAATGCAGGACGCAACACGACAGCTTCAGGTCAAATTTAATGTGCTTTTTTATTTTCGCTTATGACGTTGCACTTCCTCGGCGTTCCATGATTATGTCGTCAAAATGAAATGTATGTTTAACCTTTTGACACATTTTCTTTGATATGGTATTTTGAATGCAATATCTTTCCATTCACTTAAGATGCAAATAAATATATATAATGTAAATATAATATTAATGGTTAGTTTAAAACGTGCAGAAAAAAAGAATAAGCTTCTGATTTTAATCCTGATTTAAGCTTACTGTTAATTGTTTATCGAAAGGTACATTCGAAATATAAATGAATGTTATAGCTTTTTTGTGAAGGAAATGATAAGATTTATATGTTTTGGATTCCCCAGAATGATTAAACAATCTTTTAATATGCAGTGAACTGTAGCTTGTGACGAAATTTTATTATGAAATAGGCCACTTAAAAGGTCCTTTTTTAAATACAGTGCACGTGTCTTATATTTTCTTAAATCCCTAGGTAAACAAGACCGAGCTATGGTAAGTAGGAGATGTCTAGAATTCTGACAGAGGTTTGACAATCATGTGAAAAATACAAAACATAACAATGCATGTAGCGCCAAAAAAAGGGGAATGCATGTAAATATATATTTTTTTAACTTAAAAAGGAGAATCTACAATGAAGTTTTCTGGATGAAGCTGAATCTTTACAGAATTCTTTTCTTTTGATATTTGTCTTAAGATGGACGTCTGTTTACTCTGTGGATTCGCTGTTCTGACCTCACTGAGTCTCAGTATTCAGGTATGTATTAAGTTTTATACATATCAAACTTTGTTAGAAAAGGGACAAACTATTTATTAAGACTTTGATGAATACAGAATATCTACAGTTATGTTTGAAGTCATCAAGATCGATACATGTACACCGACTTTGTGTGCAAATGTTGTCTATCACTAGCTCAAATGCTTACTTACAATTTTGATAGTAATTATTAAGACATTATTTACTTCTGAGATTTTTGATGCCTATTTCTGTTTACCCAGGAGCATACGGTGGGTTTGATTGGAAAACATTGGATTATAACTCTTTTTTTGCATCTGATCCCATTTTTCATGTGCTAAGACCCTCCTGTTTTGTTTTGTTTAAATTGGCTTTAATCATGATAAGTATTTTTTATCTCTATACATCCTTTCTTAAGATATTACAGTTTTTCATTTTGTCCAATAAAATAAAAAATATATTATTTCTGTTTAATAGAATTAACAGAATGTGTCATATTTAGCTAAATTTTGAAAATTAAGTTAAAGACTAAAGTCAAAAGTTTGAATAAGCATCAGATACATTTAATAAATGTCATTTATATAACTGTATTTTAATTTGACATTTTCAGTCCATAGGTTAAATATGTTTAAATGCTTTTATTTTTTACCTTTGACAGCAATGTACCAAGTATTCTAATTTATGCATGATTACTTTTGCATAGCAAAACTGAAAGGTCGAAGAAAAATAGGCAACATCGTCCTAAATCTTAAAGAAATGTCATCTACTTCTAAAAACAAAAATCAGAAAGTGTCACAACGTAAAGATTCGAGTTTCTCTGACGATGATTAAACACATTGAAAAAAAAAGGAAATCTTGATACCAGCTGCAATTCAGCTTTCATCTATTTGTTAACATATAATATATCTGCACGGAAAATTAATAAAATATCCATTTCCCGGACAAGTATCTGGCATTTTCTAGACCGTACTGTCGATATATTTATATAAAGGCCTTATTAGTATGTTACACATATTGCTGGGTCGTAAGTTGTTAGGTTTTATACTTATTTCAAGGCAATTGCCTTTATGTTTATTTTAAACACGGATTTTTCTGTCTGTCCGACTTATATTCTAAAACAAGGCAAGCCATTGAAAAACATGTTGATGAAACAAGAATGCCAGCATTCTCGTTTGAAGTCATCAACTCGTAGGTTCTATGGTCGATACAATGACTTTGTCAGCAATTACAATTTATCTTCGAGTCAAATGCAGATTGATGTTTTTCATAGTAATTGTTAGTCCATTATTTATTCACTTAATTGACTAAAGAGTTTTCGTTATTTCCCGATCATGAAAAGTAAATCACGCGGGTGTAAGTAAGTAAGTAAATTTTATTTAAAGTCGCAAATTTTTACATAGCATATCAATAAACATGGGATACTCACTCCTACATGGCAACTGATCCCATCTCTAATGCTTTGGAGGTCCGTGTTTGCTTTGCTTCTATTTTGTATAGTTTTATTAACTTTTGATTTTGAATATTGTTCCTTATATCCATATGTATCATGTAGTACTCACGAGGAATGCCTAATCGTAACACACCATGTTTATCCCACTTAGGTATACAATTCCATTTCCAGTGTTTCTAGATATTAAAGTTTAATGGCTTGTTGCCCTGTAAAAGATGAAATATTTACCATCAGTAATAATTTTAAAATTTGTTGTTAAAATGATATTTTTCAGGCAGAACACTTTAATTTGGACATGTGTTGAAAGGAATTCTTTTTTTTTTAAAAAACACCCAATAAATGTATTTTTTTACAATACGTACATTTACAGGTCATAGATATTAAAAGGTAAATGATATCATAAGAGAAATAACAATAAACAACCAACCTTAATCAATGTTACAGGCGAAAACCTGGGTATTTGCAGTGAATGGAAATAGAAGACCGTGGAATTTTATGTAAGTGAATATAGACGTGTTTATATTGTATAAGTGTATTCTAAACCAAATAAAAAGGAAACATGTTTGTATAATCCATATGGCGTTAAATAATTTAATTGTTTGAAATACATTTATCATGTGCCTGGAATAGGTAGCCAAGCCTGTAATCTGAAAATTAATGTTGCATTTTTTATCTTGCACTCTTAAATTATTTTGCTGTTGGTTGCCTAAGAGAGATCTTTCAACTTAATTAGGCTCTTTTAATGAAAGAGAATGCATATTTGCTTAATTACATAATAAATCAAATGCAGAAATCCGGACACAAAATTTCTATATATATAAAACTGCTTATAATTTATTTCATTTTTATTTCCCTTAAAAGTGACAGTGATGGAATATTAAAAGGCGCGGATCTAGACCTGGTGCAAGCAGGTAAGTCAGTGGTTTTAGTATCATTCACAATTTCGAAAAATTCATGTCTATCCCGACAAAATATTTATATTCTTATAAAAATATATGAAGTATTATTTGAACAAAATCATTTGCCTTGGCATAAAACAATCCTAAAATTTCTTTTGCTCAATTTTTTTTCAGTATGTGACATTGCCAATCAGAAATGTGCTATGACTTTAGCTCCTATCGGTGCATGTGTAGAAACAATAGAGGGTCGATTTTTTCCAGGCGAGGGTAGGAAGTTAAAGAATGAAATTTGGAAGTAGGAAATACAAAAAAACCTCTACGACTCACCTTACAACTACATGTACCTGAACATAGAGAACATTAAGTTAATATCATATATTTTTTTTAATTTCTGAATTTTTTTTTTAAAAAGTGTTGCTTGAAATAAAAACAAATCAATCACACAGAAGAACTCGGCCTTGAAAATAAAAATGTCAACTGATTGGATTATGTCAATCAGATGTTCGAGATATTTTTCAAAAAAGAATTGTTGACACCAAAATTCTAAGAACAGCCCAACATGTGTCTTTTTAAAAGTCTAACTACATTTGCCAGGTTTAATGGAAAGATGGTTTGATGCATGCACTGGATATGTAAGTTCAGTGGAGCGTGTCAATGCGCTACAGTTCACTGATCCTATACGGACTACAACCTCTACATTTACTGTTCTAAAGGGAAACCCCAGGAATTTCCATCCACGGAATTTACAGAGCGCGGTGATAGGTCAGTAAGACGCTTCTCTTGATTTGTATAAAAGGACAGGGGATGCTTACCCTTTCTAGGCTTCTTATCCCTCTTATGAAATGTCCAGGACTGCTCCTGTTTATTGACTCAAATTCTTTTGCGATCGACCTATGTTAGTTTTCCTCGCACGTCTCATTATGAGGTTGGTTATTTAATGGAACACAGAGAAGTTTGGAATCGACTTCTAAACATAATCTGCGTGTTCCTACAATGGCATTTAGGTGTATAATTCAACGATAATAATTTTCTGCACATGCTATATAACATACATGCTAATGCTGGTATTATAAGGTCGATTTTTAATTAAGCACAGTTTTAGTTCTCTCTCCATCTTTCTGTCTTGTTTGTGTCATTAAAGGTTTTTATGTTTTTCATCAATTTTGAAAAAAAAAAATAATGTCACCAGATAGAAAAAATGCTAAGAATACATAAATTAGAAAAAAAAATATTCCAATGGTTTTAGGAGACCATAGCGAAATCTGGAGGCTCCTTGGTTATCAATTGAAAGTTAATGACTGTGAAAGCTGTTAGGAAAAATCCTTCTTCTATTATCCAATACTTTTGCTTCCCCTTCTTCTTCCCTCTCCTTTTTAAATACAGGAAAGCTAATGTCTAAATAGTGACATGCTCTCTTCTCTAGGCTTCTGATTCTAATCGTCTTTCTAATGTCATGAAACTTTTTTACATCATAAAGTCTCAAGGAATAAGAGACCAGGTTTGTATTGTTTTACTCAAATTTTAAGTTAAATGACTGCGAACTGCTTTTAGTTGCATTGATTATCAGTCACTTGCCTAAAGGCCAACCGAAAGACGCAACTAAATCACATGTCTCTCCCTTCTGAAGGCAAAACAGAATATTCTTGAAATTATATGCTTTTATCCAATATTAACAATGATTCTTTGCTTTAGTGCATCTGAATGGAGCTTTTACAAATGAGCAGTGTGCTGTTAGGATCGGGCTCGGGAAACCTAAACAGGTTGTGGTTGCTTCCGGAATAGCAGAGGCCAAAGAACTGTTGAAAAACTATACTGTAAGTTAAAGATTCACAGTCAAATGTTTTTCGTTCATATTTAATTTGTGATTTTATTTCGAAAAAGTATTTTGAAGAATACAAATTAATTGAATCAATCAGACAAAAAGATATAGTCTGCAAGGATAAAAATAACCAAAAATTATTTTCAAGTTTCTAAGATGCATACTTTTATCTAAAACGTATACGGAGAGATTGAAGTAAATACTGCAGCTTTTGCTTTGCATGTATTAGAAAGAAAAAAAAAACCTTTTTATGAATTCGAATTTTCAAATGCTCTAGGAAAATATTGGCCTTGGAAGAACCCATTTCAAACGAAATGATAAATAAGATTCTTAGGGTAAATCACGTGTCTAAGTATATCGAGTATCATCTTGACATTGAATACTGTTCGTTATCTCCATATCCTTCTCAGAATTTAAATCCAAAAAGGAGCCCATTAAAACAGCAGACAAGGAAAGATAAAAGAAAAAAATTGCTGCGAAAAACTTCCCGTTCGACAGGAACATCTTACTTAAATGCTACACATAAATAACTCATATCTTTAATCAGACAACATTGTTTGTGTTAAGGCAGATGCGCTTTATTCCCCGAAGACTCGTTTTGACGACTTGGAGGTTCTCCCAGGGAGGTATAAATGTGACGTCAGCGGTGTGGGAATGATGGTCAAGAAGGAGAGTGAGCTCCCTTTGTGGTGGAATCCCGCCTTCCAGAAATATTATCTGTCTGGAAAATACAACGACGACTGTGAAAAAATAACACAAAGATACGGCGGTAAGACTTTAAATGAGCATGGACACAGTTTCAACTGAATTTTTTAAAACCAATTTTTAAGGATTACAATTCCTACCTAAGGCATCATCTAATGATTAGCCAAACTTTGAAAATCATTTGTTGATACAAAAATTAAAGTTCTTCATAGTGTAAACGACACCTGTGCCTTGTTTTTGTTCACATATAGAAATTTATTTATAACAAAATGAAATTCAGCAAATCAATAGAAACTGCCGAATTGTATTTAGAATTATCTTTTTATTGAAATTATCTACTTTTAGCGAACACATATTAGTATGTTAACGTATGTAAACAAAAACAGGACACGGACCTTGTTTACATAACAAAGGTTTGGAGATCTAAATCTGTCTTGTATCTCGACAGCTGAAGTTCAACATTTTTATGATCATAAGAAATACCCTAAATAAATATTTGTAAAAATCTAGAAATAAATTTTCAAATTTTAGCTGAAACTGTGTCCATGCCCCTTTGATTTAAATATCACCATATTCTACATACATTGATTATATTACTCTGTAAAACATCAATGAATTCAAGACTAACATGTAACACTGTAGCTCTAAAAAGATAAAATTTGAAAAAGAAATAAAACTAACAAAGTCATCAAGTATTTATACGACAATATTTTGAATAAACATGTTAACATTTTTCTGAAGGATATTGTATAATTATGGTATATATGGAACAACTGAAATACGTATTATAAGAAATTGTATAGGCAAAATAGACTACAGGAAAAAGGTCAGGAAAGTTTTAATCTAAACCAAGATTTTTTTGACAGCTGACGATTCAGAAACGTGTGTTCCTCGTGAACTACAGGCGAACTCTACAGGCCACAAGCATACGATCTACTCCCAGGGCTATTTTTTAATCTGTCTCTGTCTTAGTTTTTTCTCTCTTTCGCTCTAAGTACAGGTTAGCATAAATGTAACCAATAACCAGCTGCTTAGGAGGGAGAGGGTGTTAGATGTATGACATTTTCGCAAAGTACGACGGTTACTTTTTGTTTTGCTTTTCTTTTACATCTATTTTTTGTAAAGTCTCTTGGAATGCAGGCGTTTTATAATTATATATTTAAAGGATATCAGATAATCAAGACTGATAGGTTGGTGAAAATGTAAAATAAGTATGTGTTTGTAACATTATATATTTATATATTAGCGTAACCAAACTCTATTAGAAATATTGAAATTGAAAATATATAGAAATATATGTATGCCTGCTTTATCGAAATTTTGGAGTACCTATTTCTTAAAAAATTTCTTCCAATTAATTTTAATTAGTTTGATTTTGCCTTTTCACAGGGAAGTGCGTTTCACATTTCTAAATAAAAACAAAAAAAACTTTGATGTATATTGTTCATGTTGCTTGTGTTTCCACATCAAATTTATTCAAAAATAGAAATATGATTAATTTTATTGAACCTTTATTAAGGAATTTTGTGCTTTACACATTATGTGGAATATAGGGAAGTGGAAACCAGGAACGTCTCTTACAAAAATTAGTAGACCCATCTTGTAGAATATTTTACAATCTGATAAAAATATGACAAGAAATGAAATATGCAAAGAAGTGTCTGATTTAGTTATTTTTGGATATTGGATACCGACATACAGAGTATTAATCTAAAAGGCATGTATCCTATGGATACTATAAACATTTTAACTTCTACACTACTTAATTCCAAACACCAAAAGCGCTCATGTAGAATTTGACCCATCCTACAAACTCACAGACCTAGTGCTATAACAAATCTCAATTCATGTGAGACCAAAAAATCATAACTCTACATCATTATTATTATTTTTTATCACTTGAAGACAAGTCTGTCTCACCGAGAGAAGTCTGGAGAAGTCTGGAGATAACAAACATATTCAAGTTCATTCAACATAATAAATCAGGAACAGAGCAAAGGCGAACCTCCAAAACATCAGAGGTGGGATCAGGGGCCATGGAGGAGTAAGCATCCCCAGCCGACCAGTCAAATCCGCCGTGTATATGCTATGTAAAATTGAGTAAAATGAACAAGTTTAACCGCGTAGTTTTCATATTTTCATTCAAACTTTAACAAAAATGGAATTTGAAGTGAAAAATATTTGTATAGAAAGAAGGATATGGAGCTAACGAACAGTATTAAACCTCAAAGTCCATAAAACAATATTAAATAAGAGCAGAGCAAACAGGGCCCCCCGAAACATCAGAGGTGCGATCAGGTGCGATGGAGGAGTGAGCTTCCCCTGCTGACCAGTCACACCCGCTGTGTGCTCCTTGTCATGATCAGGAAATGACTGAAAAAATCACTCGTCAATCGTTTGATATTTTATTGTATTAACAATTAATAATATTGTATTAATAATTGTATAGATTTATAAGGATGGCTACATTAAGGTAGAATTTTGAACATCATAGAAGGTTTACAAATTCTTTATATTTTGAAAATTTATAAGTTGCATCATTTGCGACAAAAATAGAGCCAGAAATATATACCAATCCAGGCATCTGTTTTTTTTTTGTTTCTAAAATCTGTCTTTAATGATAGATTGTATTTGCTGACAAGGTCATTGAATTGTTAAGGGAATATTTGAAAGGATAACAAACTTTAATTTTATGATAAAAACACTGAAGGTCAGTGTTAACAAGGCGTCAGTATTCACAAGGAATCACTAAATCACAAATTCCGAGGGACGTTTTTCATATTAATTTTAAGACTACTATTTACGGATCATCTACAGATTTTCCAGGGGGCAGGGGGGTCAAGACAAAGAGCATAGTGTGGATATTACCGGCTGGCAGGGGTTGGTACTTCCTTCATGGGACCTGATCCCACAATAATAAGATATATAGTTTGTGTATGCTCTGATCCTCGACAGAATTTTTAATTGAAACTTAATTATATAACCAATTGAAAGATCAGTGCCTGATAATTTAATTTCTAATCTTTTCAAAACAATATAAAATAAACCATTGCAACAACAAACTATACTGTGTTATGTTTTTAGTCTATGTTTGTACAGTTAATCAAAGTTTTTACCATAGTAAATTAATTTTTAATAGTTATTACTTAAATAAATCAAAGTATGAAAGTTATCACTATAGTAAATCAAAGTTTTCATAGCGATAGAATCATCACTTTTGTAACTATGGTTAACCAAAGTAAACTATAATTAACTATAGTAATTTATAGTTATCCATAGTATTTTTTTAATATGGGTTTTCGTGACTTTTGCTGCGCCATGAAAATTTTCTTGGTCCATGAATAATATTTAGTGATGTGAATTATCGTCCATTAATTATTACGTCATCAGTGATGAAACAACTTTAAGTATGACAAATGAAAGAGAGGAAGAAAGATGAAGACTTTACTCGTGTTTTTTTTTTCTTTTTTTTTTGAAATTCTTTTAGACTTATGGTGCAGTGCACAGCTTGATATGTAATGAAAAATCAGGACAGTGTTTACTTAATTTCTTTTCTTTTAGGAACCAACATTGGCCGTGCTATTCGACATGGTCTATAATACAGTAAATTTACAAACATCTGCAAATTTTCAATTTTTTAATTAAATTCAGTGAATTTAGTTCACGTAGTTAAAAACAAATAAAGACAGAGTGACCAATACAATAAAGCATAATTATTTCTATAGAGACAAATATACTTTATTATATTTTTTATTGGACATACCAAGAATACGGAGAATTATTATTAAAAAATATAGGCATCACATCCGGTAAAGAAAGAAGGATTTTTTCCCGGCATTTTAGTACAATACTTATGAATAACAGTTTCAAAACCTTGAAAACCCAAAATATTGTTAAAATTTTATCAAAAATGGAAAATTTTGAATTCTGTTAAGAGGGCAACTTCCGGTAATGGAAAGAAATTCATTCAATCGTTAAATAACTGATTTGGCAAAGTAAAAGATGTCCTAACTTTTTTAGTACATAGTTATAACCTGTATATAATTTTCAACCTAAAATTCAGGTGTTGCGTTTCTATAGACGGCGAGTATAGTTTTTCTTTTCCAGTATGTTATAAAAGTGTTCAATACTAAGGAAGTTTCCTTAATTACCAAAAGGTATTTGGTATACAGTATATTACTTTAATTGAGTTTTCAAAGCAGAGAGGTTTAGAATCATCAAAGGTTCCCTTATATATCATGCCAAATGATATGCAACAATGACATGCTGCTAAAATTGGCACCAATAGTTAACTTAAAACTAGTATTCTAAAAATAAAAAAAATATGAAACCAGTTGGGTTCTTTGTACGTAAATCAACGCCTATTTAATTCGTGCATATCAGTTATTCTTTGTTTTGTTATTTGGGAATAGCAGAGGTATTTATTGTATCGGTGTATCGGGATGGCAGCAGGTTTGCGCGCTTTTTTGCTAACAGCTCAAATTTTATTTGTTTTACTGGTTTTTAGACTTTTTAAAGATCAAAGTGAATTGGACAAGCATAAAAGTAGTTATATTCTTGTGAACAACACTTTTGTTTCATCGGAAAATATAATACATGCCGAACTTTCCACATATGTGATCTCGACATCATCGAGGAAATTCGAACTACATGTATATACAAACAAACATGTATCAAGAACTGTTCAATATATCAGTCCATCTCCAAAGTCATTACTTAAGTTGCTGTTAATAATTAGTGGTGATGTTCAGTTAAACCCAGGGCCTCCAAATCCTAAAAAACATGAAGATAAAGGAGAATCTAATACTTTTCCAGATGAGCAATTCGAGTGTTTTGATTTGAAAGGAATGCACTTCATTCATTTAAATGCACGATCTCTTTTACCAAAAATGGCTGAGCTGCGTATAATTGCCAGTAAATCTAAGTCCTCAGTTATAGCTATTTCAGAAACCTGGATCGACAACTCGGTTACAGATAATGAGATTTCCATCGAAGACTACTATGTTCTAAGGAAGGACAGGAATAGATCAGGGGGTGGTGTCTGTGTTTATGTACGATCCAATCTTGCGTTTGCCAGAAGAACTAATATAGACAACGAAAATATTGAGTCTCTTTGGTTAGAACTTTATTTACCAAAAACTAAACCTATTATTGTTGGAGTTTGCTATCGTCCTCCTACCCAAACTTCTTTTATAGACTACTGGGAAGAAGATTTCCGCAAATTACGCACCGACTGTGAAACAATCATACTGGGTGACTTCAATATTTGTACATCTAGAAAAGGCAACCCATTATACAAACCTTATATGAACATTTGAAGTTTATTTAGCTTATGCCAAACTATACTTGACCCTACAAGAGTTACATGTGAAACAGAGTCTATTATTAATCACATTTTATGTAATTTTAAAGAAAATATTGTTAACTCTGGTGTTATAACCACTGGTATTAGTGATCATTTTTTGACATTTTGTACTAGAAAAGTCCCAAAGGGCCATTTTTAAAGTCATAATATTATCAAGATAAGATGTTTGAAGAATTATTCCATCGAATCGTTACAGTTTCTTTTATCAAGTGTAGATTGGAGTGAATGTTTAAATACATTGTGTGTCAATAAAGCCTGGTCTATTTTTAAACAGATATTTACCAATATTTTAGATACATTAGCTCCTATTGTTGAAATAAGGGTTAAGCAAAGAACGGAGCCATGGATGACTTCATATATTTTAGGCCTCATTAGAGATAGAGATAAACATTTGTATTTATATAGAAATCCTAAAAGTCAGGAAGACAATAAGATATTTTGTAAATTAAGAAATCAAGTGCAGAGAGAAGTAAGGAAAGCTAGATCCTCTTACTTTCAAGATAAAATTGAAGAAAATAGGTCAGAGCCTAAAAAAATGTGGCAACAACTCAAGAACATAGGATATAAATATAAACAAAAAAGTAGTGAAAACATTGTCTTAAACATAGATGGTACAGTACAACATGAAGGGAAAACTTTAGCAGATTATTTTAATGGTTTTTTTACAACTATTGCATTAAAACTTGTAAGCAAATTACCTAATCCTTCATACATGTTTTCTGTCACCTCAAGGGGTTTTAAACAGTTTTATGCAGATAAAAGCATAGAAAACAAAACTTTTGTACTTCAACCTGTGACTGAAGATTTTATATACAAAGAACTAAAAAGTTTGAATGTAAAAAAAAGTACTGGTTTAGATAATATACCAGCAAGGTTTTTAAAAGATGGTGCTTTTTATATTAAGGAACCTATAATGTCCATTGTGAACAAATCTATTACCACCGGTATTGTACCAGATGATTTTAAAATGGCAAGAGTCAAGCCTCTGTTCAAGAAAGAAAACTCCCTTATAGTGGGAAATTATAGGCCAGTCAGTATATTATGTATACATAGTTTCAAAGATTTTAGAAAAATGTGTCCATGTTCAACTTTTAGATTTTTTAAAACAATAATCACTTGTTATATTCTTACAAATCAGGATTTAGAAACAAATTTTCAACAGATAGTTGTTTAATACATATGTTAGATTTTATTAAAAGTAATACATCCAAAGGGCTTTTTACAGGTATGGTAATGTTGGATGTACAAAAAGCTTTTGACACTGTCGACCATACAATTTTATGTGATAAGTTAAAAGTTTTAGGAGTTTTATCCACTGAGTGGTTCAAATCTTATCTGTCTTGTAGACAACAACAAGTTCATGTCAACAATACTTCTTCAGACTTTAATACTGTAAATTGTGATGTTCCTCAAGGCAGCATCTTAGGACCTCTTTTATTTTTAATATATGTCAACGACATGACTGTCAGTATTGATGAAGACTGTAAATTAATTTTATATGCGGATGACAGTGCAATTTTTTATGCACACAGAGATCCTGTTATTATTGCTCAAAAACTGGGCATTGTTCTTGACAAATGTTCTTCTTGGTTAGTTGACAATAGATTGTCAATCCATCTAGGTAAGACAGAATCTATTTTATTTGGTCCTCCAAGAAAGCTTAAAAGTATTACAGATTTTAAAATTGTGTGTAATGGTCACATTATTAAAGGTTCTGACAGTGTTAAATATTTAGGAATCTGTATTGACAAGTTTCTTTCATGTGAAAATATTGTTTTAAGTGTCATACAAGAAGTTGATGCTACACTTAAGTTTTTATATAGAAATGCATCCTGTCTTAGTACTCATTCTAGAAAGACCCTATGTTCTGCCTTGATACAATGTTATTTTGACTTTGCCAGTTCTTCTTGGTATTGTGGAATAAACAAGAAACTTAAACACAGATTACAAGTAACCCAGAACAAAGTAGTACGGTTCATTTTAAACCTTAGTCCTAGAGAGAGTATTTCTAACAATATTTTAAACTCTCTAAATATGTTAAGAGTGGAGGATAGAGCTATACAATTAAGATTAAATCATGTTTTTAATATATATTATGGTAATGCACCAGCTTACCTCCATGAATATTTTGTTTTAAATAATAATATCACAAGAAGTGCAACAAATAAAAATTTTATTATACCAAAGATAAAAGGGAAAGAGTCCTCATGTTTTTTCTATAATGCTATCAAAGATTGGAATACATTGCCACTGGAGATTAAAGAGGTGAAAACAAAACAAAGTTTTAAGAAAGCTGTAAAATCTTTTTTATCTACAAATGCTAGTGTTACTACATAAAAAGCTTGTCTAATTTTATCGCTTATTTATTATTTTAGTATCATAAGCATTTTGTGATAATTATCAAGACAAAATATGCTACCGTAAACATGTCATTTTTCAGAGCATTATGCTATACTCATAAAAGTACCTGTCTAAATTTCAATGTTTATGTAATTTTGTTATTTTTTGTTTACTAACATGGCTGTTATTTGAGGACCCCATTGGAAATAAGCTTTTTCAATAAGGCTTTTATGGGCTATCCTTAGGTAATATCTATCAACTGTATGTCATGCAATGTATTTAATAATAATTACTTATATATGTTAAATTGGATCTTCCTTAATTAGCATAGTGCTGAGATAATGTGTGTGTATTTCTTTTTTTCTAGTAGTTTGCTAGTCTGTGATGTTTTAATTTGTGAATCATGACATTCTGTGATATTTTTACCTGAATAAAATGAAATGAAATGAAAGTGTATTTAGTGACATAATGATCTCAAAAGATTTTTTTCTTTAAAAAAATGTGTTTACGGACCTTCAAAAATTAGAATGTTCTGGTTTCATGATATCGAGTGACAAGGATATAACATTTTTTGCCCAAATTCATCTTATTGCTGAGAAAATTCTAACAGTTTGAATGCAGTATTGAAAAATTTTTAAGTCAATAATACAAGAATGTACAAAAAAAGAATAAAAAAGAAATAACAGGTATATTTGTACGTGTAAACTAATAAGGCATTCACATGTTTAAGTAGAAAGCAGCGAACCAAAATACTGGAGGGCTGTGAAATACACAATGTACAATATTCATTTAACTTTTCTATTCGATTAATGCCGATACAGTTTATACGAAATGTATAATTGAGATTACAAATATAATTTAAGTATACATGTGTATTTCAAAATAAAATTCATCATATTGATCATTTTAATTATTCTTGAAAACCTGTTTATACATCATAAATATTCATTAAAATTCATATTTTTGACTCGAAATTAACCTTTACTTAAAATTTGTTTTGCAGGAGTGTTAAAGAAGCACTAAAACTTGAGAAGGATATGGAGATAACGAACAGTATTCAATATCAAAGTCCATAAAACAATACAAAATAGGGCAAGAGCAGGTACCATGGAAGAGTGAGCACCCCCAGGTTGATAGACAAATGCATGTTTATAATTTCACCAGACCTTATCTAGCTATACCATAAATTTTAAATTTGGAAATTTGAAGTTTTATCCTTTTTCTCTAAAATGTTGACGAATTTTCCTGAATGAATCACTGCTCTTTCTAAAGTTAAAGTAAATATCTCAATAATTTCCGAACAGTATTTGCATTGCTTCATTTGTTTAAGAAAGTTCACGATTTAAAAGTTTAATTCATCACGTTTACAATGAAGCTTTCTTGTTTTATTATTACCGCGGTCTTTTTCTATTAATACATTACATCTTAAAAGGGAAAAAAATTGTAAGACTATGTGGTATCTTGTATTTCAAGTTCATCAAGATATATCATGTCGATATAAGAATGGAAATAACAACTGTTGATTGATTGACAAAACGTAGTTAATATATATTTTTCTTTTTCGCATGTAGAATTTTAAACCAAATTCACTTCATATGAATACACAAGTACGTCTGCTAATCACGGAGCGCTATTGGTCTCCATAGAATTTTAATAGATTTTTGGAGGACTTGGCCTCAAAAACCACATAGATATTGTCTTGCAGAAACTTAATTGTCTTTTTAATATTAAAGTTAGAGTGCGTGTGTGTACAATCAGATTGTTTTGCAAATGACCAATAATAGGGTACATTTACAATTTCGATATCTTTCTGAATTTACAATTTCGATATCTATCTAAAAACAAAGTTGTCAATGATGTCAAAGAGCCAGGATTTTTGTAAAATATTGTGATTTTAAACGTTCTTCATGGATTTTCAAATATGAAATGCGTGCATTATTCTGTAAATGAAGAAATTGTGAATTCGTCATGTATCAAAAGTAAACTGCAGATTTGAATACAGACAGCCAAGAAAGCTTTATAATAATCAAGAGCATGTTTTAAAATATGTCAGTGATATCAAATTTTAAGTCTGCACAAGAACATTAAGTTAGGGTTTATTTTTTTTAGGAAATTGAAATATATTTCCATAAATTTAAAATCCGGGTTCAATTATGTAATGTCAAATAATATGCAACAATGACATGCTGCTAAAATTGACGCCCATAGTTAATTCAAAACTGGTCTTCTAAAAAGATTAATATGAAACTAATTGAGTTCTTTGTACGTTAATTCACGAACATAGACACATGAATTTCAGTTACGTCCTGTGTCTTTATATGAAAATAGTAGATGGCATTTATTGTATTCGTGTATTTAGAGACGTTTAGAGACGCATATTATTTGACATTACATAATTGAACCCGGATTTTAAATTTATGGAAATATATTTCAAAAAACTGTGATAATGAACCTTAAAAACTGACACATCCTGGTTTCAATATATCGAGTGACAAGGATATGACAGTTTTTATCTAATTGCACATTATAGCTCAAAAAAATTGTGGAGACCAATTTTCGCAATGAATACGCGGGTTGATCCAAAAGTATTGTCACAGTGTCCATATCTTTTAT